AGTCCCGCAGCTGAAGGGAATCTCAGCCCCAGCATCTGCTGACTCCAGGTCCTGGCATCCAGTGTCTGCAGCTGTGGGACTCCCTGGGTCCTCATGCTGCTGGAGCCAAAAGTCCCCTCAGTTGCTGGACTCCTGGCTGGGCATGGTACATCTTTGCAGTTGAGACCCCTGTCAATTGTCGGGGCTCCCAGCTGCAGGGGAGAGCCTGATAAACATGTAAACTAAAGTTTAGTAGCAACTAGCTGAGTCCCAGCGGCCAGGGGGTGCAGCTGCCCCAGGGGTGCATGAAACCCTTGGGCCTGTGGGATCACAGCTGCCAGGCTTGGGGGTGCATGGGGTACCCTTGCAGCTGTGAGCCCCTCAACTGAGGGGGCTCCGAGCTGTAGGAGTTCCCCCTGCACTGGCAATAAGGAGCGATGGGATCTAATGCATGATTGTGGATTTGGCATTAGAGTCCATCACATCTTTACCTGCTTTTGTAGCGGGGGCCGCAGTTAAACAAAATGTTTCTCAGTATCTCAGTTGCCAGGATCAGTCATTTGTTCTGTCATAATTCCATTAGTTCTCCTGAGGATTCTCACAGTAAAACAAGGGATACAACAGGATTTTTTTTTTAAAGGAGAAGCACACTGCAAAGCATCCTGTTTTTGAAAAGTACCCTTCTGGTTTAAAATGCATTTCAGAAGAGAAAAAGGCACTTCTTCCTGAATAGGGCATTACAAAAAGAAAGAAGTGAAATGCCAGTTCTCATATGAAAATTAATATAATTGAAAATTGATTAAACTGTTCAAAAACATTAAAACTTGTCAACGTGTTGGATCTTGCCTAACTGAAATTAAATTCTTGACTTCTTACAGCCTGAATGTTGAAGCATGTTTTGAATATACTGCTAACCCCCAAGATTTCAATCCAAAAATAAGTAAGTAGATAAAAATACTTCTAGTCTGCTTATTGTGAGAGTAAGTCTATTTAATGCTATGGAAGAAACAAGCAGCTGTTTGCTGTCAGAAAAAATTAACTGCAGAGGTAGCCATGTAAACTGTAGTAATCTCTGCTCGCTGTTTGTTCTAGATTTGAAGTGTAATTCAATACAGGGCACAGCTGGCTGTCACAGGAGCTCTGTAGAGAAGAGCTAACATATGTCTGAATGGCAGGTTTCTATATAAACACAGTTGTGCTGTGTTACTAAATGGTGTGGTGACCAGCTGGATTTGACTAGTTAAAGAGTCTTTAAAAGCTCAGTAATTATTAGCCAACAACGGCTCCAACAGAATCTGTGAATCAGTTCACACGCCAGTACTTGGTGTCACTTTACAAAATACAGTTTTTAAAAGCCTATTTCATGGAGTTAAAACAAAAAACCAAACAAACATAGATACACGTGTGTGTGTGTGTGTGTGTGTGTATACATGCACGCACGCGCACAATTACATTGCTTTTAAAAATTAAATCAAAGCCAATTCCAAATGTTTACAAGTGTCTGGGAAACAATGAGCAAAGAGAGAACCCCCCAAAATCCCCCCAAAACAACAAAAAAGCTGTGTGTGTGTGTGTATACACACATAAGAAATATACAAGAGCCTGTAGTATAAGCTTCTACACTTATGGAAGTAGTTTAATGGCTATGGGCACCTAGAGTAATCTTATTCATGTAAAATTGGAATTTTTATTCCATAAGATTAAAGAATGTTTAAAACAGCAGTTTCAGATACCTTCTTTTACTTGTATATGGCTAAGATGCTGTAGTTTCTTTGTAATGGAAGGGGGGCATGTGTTACGATACATTTGGAGAGGGGAGAGAATCTTAAATGTATGGCCTTATAGTTAACGTTGAATCTAATCTGCGTGCATCCTCTACGCGCAAGTAACCAAGTTCCCTAAACTGCTGCTTGAGTGCTAAGGCCCTGCTGCTGTAGCTGGGAAGATATTAATGATGCCAGTAAACTTGAACAGGGATTTTTTTGTAAAATCCTTTGACTGATAATGAGAGAGAGTGCTTTTGGATCCAAAATGTTAAAGGAAAGGGAAGGTGGCTGCCAAATGAAAGAAGTATAATCCTGGCTGTTAAAAGGTTGTATTTAATAAGGCTTTGCAAACAAGGGAGTGTAGTCAGTATATTGTAGTACAAGACAATGTATGGCAGGACCATAGTTGACTATATTAGCATTCTTAATTTATCATACTTTCTGTGTGTGAAGTATTTTTCCTTTTATTTTTCATTTAGAACTTAACTATACTTTTGAAGCAGAAAAGGATAGGAGGCGCTTAGGTCTACCTTCCAGAGTACAGTTTCCCAATCATCCATCTGATCAGCTTACTGGGAGTATAAAACTACAAGGACAAAATACAAGGGAGTGTGTGAAAACATCTCTTGTACTCCAGGTAAGGTGATGGGCAGAGGATTTTGTCTCACTTTCTGCTACAGTTGAACACTTCTTTGTGGAGTGGAGTGGGGTGGGAGGGTGAGGATGTATCATCCTACTGTTTGCATCATTTCATGGTTACTGAGAAGAGACAGTTGCTGCTATTTTTGCCTTCCCACTTGGTCTTCTTATGGATCATTACCGGTGAGAGAAGTAATTAGTAAGCCAATGAGAGCACTGGGGTGTTCAGGTCCTTGTGTTAATGCATTTTCTTTTAAAAATGTTCATTTAAGTCAATAAATACTTTGGACTTTCTGTTGTGTTTCTAAAAGGAAAGGGTCTACTCTACTTAGAATATATTGCTTTGTTAAGAAAGCCAGTGTCTTGGGGTTTTTATACTGTGTATTAAATATGACATTTAAAATGTTTAACAGGAAAATATCAAAGATAAACTACGTCCCATTCCTTTGTCAGTTGATGTTAAAATCAGTGGCTCAGACTCTGGCTCACAATCCAGGAGAAGACAAGGAAGAGCACTTCCAGATCTTGTTCCAGTTCTAAATTCAAATGAACCAGAAACAGTGAAGGCAGAAGTAAGTCTTTTATTGCATGTTCTGCTGGAGATCTACTTTAAACTTCACAATTTGTGTAGGACAGAAAAAGGAGGAGTTGGGTTATTTGCATAACAAATTGGTTCTAGCACATGCCTTGACAGTTAATCCCTGAAATAAGAGCTGCGAAGAAATTGGCTGTGACCAAACTGATATGACAAATCACATAAATTAATTTTGTAATCTCAGCTGCTCTCTTACGTTGGCTGTTATCAGTCACTTAACTATGCAAAGTATTTTAAAAGTTGCTTATGCACGCTTCCGGGGACAGAAGTGAAGATGACAGAGGTGGCTAACGCACTAGCTTTCTATTCCAGGAGACTTAAGTTGAAATATTGTACTTGAACATTTAATTGAGTCGCCTTATCCTGATGCACACTAGTCCCACAACACAGAATCGCTCTGCAGTCTAATATTTATTGAGTGCGGCAGTGTTAGAAAGCTTGCATCCAAATTTTAGCGAAGCACCACCCTGCAGTACTCTAGCCAGGACTACTTTGCCTGTTACATGAACCCAGTGATCTGCAAGATGCTGAGTACTGCATGTAACAGGCCAAGTACTGTCTTGGAAGAAACCCCTTTTCACTGTGAAGGGGTAGGCCCCACATTGCCTACTTTTGCATTTTCACATGGCAGTTGGCAGCAAAAATTTAAATTACTAACCAAGTGCTAGTGTCCTTTTATCTCTGTAGTCGAACAAGTCCAGGGGTTCTGAAGTGCCTATACATCTGACCTTAATCACAAACATGTCAGCAGCCTGGTTTAATATTGTTTTGTATGTTTGTATGTAACTGATTCTGTTTTTTATGTATGTGCAGTTCTTAAAAGAAGGATGTGGAGAAGATAATATATGCAATAGCAATCTAAAACTTCAGTACAGATTCTGCACCAGAGAAGGAAATGAAGACAGATTTTCTTATTTACCAATGTAAGACTTGATTCTTGTATTGGTTATAACTTAAACTAAAGTAGCTGTGGGCAAGGGCTGCAAACATGAGCAAGGTAGTGGAGAATCTATTTTAAAAGAAGAAATTGAAGGGGTAGTTTGCTTAGTAAGACAAAGTCTAACAGGGGAGTACCAAGCAGGGAAAAGAAATGAGCCAAAGGATGGTATTGGCACACAAGCAAGGGTATAATAATGTGGCCATGAATAAAATATAGGCCTGAAATGAAGAGAAGTGTTTTAACCATGAGACCAAGGAGGTTATAGAACAGTTTTCCAATAAAAGTATGATAAGTTTACGAATGCAATTACATGATTATATTGCCTACTATAATAGGAGACTAGACTGACTCGGGAGGTCTTTTTCAGGCTTTTATCCCGTGTTCCTGTGGGCAGGCCTTCAGTGCTTTCTTGGTGCTCTCTAGGCACTGCATTCTAACATGCCCTGATCACCTGCTGTCATGTGTCATTTCCTGGTTTAGCATATGCAGAGCACATGGGTAGGGTGTGTTTGAGAGTGGCATCCAGAGCACTGTGGAAACAGTGTAGACATACCCTGCATCTACAAAAATGACTGAACATGAACGGATGTTTAGAAAGGATCAGATTTTTGTCTGTTTTTTTTTCTAATGCATGAGACTTAATCAATTTTATTTCTTTAGTGAGAACAGTGTCCCAGTGCTTGTCCTGAAAGATCAGAAAGATATTGCACTAGAAATAACGGTGACAAATAATCCATCAGATGCAAAAAATCCCAAGAAAGATGGTGAAGATGCACATGAAGCTAAACTAATTGCAACTTTTCCAGACAGTTTGACTTACTCTACATTTAGAGAGCTGAGGGCTTATCCGGTAAGTATTCCAGAAAAGCAAGGAAAAGGATATATATGTATATTTAAATATTTATTTAAATATTTTGACTTGTAATGTCTTTCATTAACTCAGGAAAAACAGTTAACTTGTGGTGCCAATCAAAATGGTTCTCAGGCAGAGTGTGAACTTGGAAATCCTTTCAAAAGAAATTCCAATGTAAGTGGCATTTACCTTTCAAGTAGAGTTGGGTCCACGCTTCAAAATTAAAATTCTGGCCCCAGTCCTGAAGTGGAGGTTTGAGGGAGGGAATTGGTTTGGAGCCCAGCTATTTTATATATTTTAGAGCTTGATGTATTTTTAACTTGACATAAACTTGCTCTAGAAAAATGTATTAAGTGCTTTACTGTACATTTTATTTATTTTTTGTTTAGGTAACCTTTTATCTGGTTTTGAGTACAACTAAAGTTAATGTTGACACAACTGACTTGGACATTACGTTAGAGTTAGAAACGTAAGGCTTTTTTTTGTTGTTTTGGGGTTTTTTTGGTTGTGTCTTTGCTCATTGTTTCCTAGACGCTTGTAAACATTTGGAATTGGCTTTGATTTGGTTTTTAAAAGTAATGTAATTGTAATGTGAAAACTGTTAAGATTTTAAAATAAACAGTGTTGTTTCCTTTTACATTGTAGAACAAGCAATCAAGTTAATTTGGCTCCAATTACTGCTACTGCTAAAGTGGTTATTCAGTTGCTTTTGTCAGTTACTGGGTAAGTGTTTATAGTTAATGAAACAAATCAATATGAGAGAACTGTTTGATTTATAACCCTCACTAAAATGTGGGTTTTTGTTTGTTAATTGAACAGAGTTGCGAAGCCTTCCCAGGTATACTTTGGAGGTAACATCATTGGTGAGAGTGCTATGAAATCTGAGGATGATATTGGAAATCTAATAGAATATGAATTCAGAGTGAGTTGATCTTGATTATTAAGATGTCATGACTGTTCATCAGATAAGCAATCTACTGTGTTTCATACAGGTGACTATGTAAAATCCATCTTATTTGAGGCTGGCTGTCCTTGGAACAGGATCTCTACCTTTTTGGTTCAGAAATCCACAGCCTGATCAGTGCACAAAGAATTGGGCTTCCTTTAGCCTTGAAAATATTAGGATTGCATTTCCCAAAAGTGGCTTCCATTTGTTTGTGGGCAATGTTGAGTGCAGTCCCCTGTACATACTGTTTTCTACCAAAAATATCCAAGTGACAAAGTTTATATAAACCCTACTGATGACATACTCAGGTGCTTAGTACTCAGTGTTTGTGTAGGAACTTATGTACACAAAGTGGAGCACGCAGCAACAGGACCTGTGTTGAAGCCACTTTCAACACATGGTCCTTAGGAGCTCACACTGGTTTTGTGCTTTTTAATTACTAAAGCATGGACTTCACATCCATGTTTTTCAAACAGTGAACACTTTGCAAACACCAGAACACTCAGCAATGTAAACATTTGCTCCTGTATTTTCATCCATTCAAACAGGCTTCTGTTCCACATTTGCTCAGTACAGCACCTTTCCTTTCCATTCAGAGCTGTCTGTTCTTCCACTAGAATTCCCCCTTGCCTTTCAAATGTCTGCCCTGACAGGTAGTAGCATATGGGCCATGTCACACATTCTACTTTTGAGCTGCTCAAATGTTGGCTGGTTAGTGCTAGTTTGAGTTTGGAGCAGTCCCACCTTAAGGATAAAAACCACCTCTGACTGGCCCTCACCTGCACAGCTGTGACTTGCCACTAGAAGACTGGCAAGCAGGGGCCTAACTAGGAGCTACAGAGAGGCCAGTTACCACTACAGGGTTGGTGAGTCAGGACAGGCTTTTATCCCTACTCTGGGGGGCGGGAGGCGGAGTGAGAGATGGGTTGCCTGGGGGTGAGAACATGAAGCTGGGAGGTGGAGCATTAATGGGATGGAGGTGGGTAATGAAAAGGGAGGTGGAGAGGAAATGGGTGTAGGGGAAGGGTGGTGAAATGAAGGAAGATTGCCACTGAAGGAAAAAGAAAAAGAAGCATAAAAAAAAAAAAGAAATAGAGGAAGCAAATTAAAGAGGGTCTCATATTTTAATAAATTGGGATTGGGGTGTTGGGGGTGCTGATCATCCTTCCTGGGGTGGCTGAGGAGGTGGGAGCAATGAGAGAAGGTACTTATGGGGGAACTACTGCCCCTGCTCTGGGAAGGAAGCCCCAGTTCATGGGAACTTGATCTGGCCCCCTACCTTGTTCCTCCCACCCTCACTCCACCACCGTGCTTAGATCCCCCACTCCTGGACCAGTCCACGCCCTGCAACTGGGCATGTGTTCTGCAGGCTGTTTGCATGGGTTTGCACCCCTGGTTGTGGGAAGGTCGTATGCTTAGGAATGGGAGAGGGAGTTGACTTGGTGCCAGGAGTGCCACCTGGGCAGTAGAGTTCAGGAGGTGGAAAGATTGTCCACACAGACTAGGAGGATGGGGGAGGAGATGCTGCATTCTGGGATGCTGGAAGACTGCAACTTGGACAGCTCACACATTAATGGAACAAGAACTGGGTAACACAGATCAGAGAGAAACCTGCCTGGGAGTGGTGCAACTTTAAGCTGCCTAAAGTGTGCTTAAAACTTGTTTCAGGTGTTAATGTGTGGACAATCCAGTGGTTAAGAGCTCCTGGAGCTGCCTAAAATTAATGTGTAACAAGACCCAAAATCAAAGCTGGAACCTTGTCCTCCTTTCTCTGCACAAATGTGGAAGCTCTCAATTTGTGCATTCTTGGTTTATGTTGGAGGGTTTTGAAAAAGGTTTAAGGGGAAGGGAATGGGTTGAAAAACACCTTTATCATTATTCGTCCCATCTTGGACTACGAGATACATACTTTCTTCTCCAGCTTTGTTTACATACACCTAACATAGCAATGTGAAGGCACTGGCAGTACTTAAGTGTACTTTTGTTTCTGATTCAGTGACAAGGCCATGGCCATTAGGCCATTCTCTTCTGACTTTAAAAGAACAGGAAAATAGAGTTTAGGGGGATTATCAAACTGGTACAGCATTGGCTTTCAGTTCTTCTTTTCTGGTGACTGCACTTCTAGTTTGACCCTGACTACAAGATACGAATTTTTGTAGGGCTTCCAATCCCATTCACTGCTGCGACTCCTCATTTAGAAACTGCTGTAGTAGGGCAAGAAGGCCAGAGTTGTCATTCTGTGCTGTCAGATTTCCCCTTGCCGTTGCAGTCCCTCTGTTTCTATATAACTGAATACATTTTTGTTACTGCTAAAAACATCCTCGCTCCTGTTGCTCTTTTGGCAGATGATAGATTTGCAGATAACATTGGCTGAGGGAGCAGATATTCCAGTTGTTGCTGAACTTTGTAGTTTACATTTCTAACTTTTAACATTTGGTTGCATCCTCTTGGCCTATGCTTATATAAACCCAATTGCCTACATGTTCTATTCAGATCCTCACAGGCTTTTAGTAAACCTTACAGTTGCTTTAGTTTTACTTATAAGATCTAAAGTAAAAAATTGAATCTCTCCTGTTTTTTTATGTATAAACTGTACAGCATCATCTAGAACACTTATAGTGGGATCACACTTCCTATAATTTAGGAGAATTGTTATCTTGTATTTTGAATCCATAATTGTTTGGAAAAATCACAAATATATAGTACTTCAGAATATGTGCTTTTTCCATGATTTTGGCATTAATATTAAAAAACCTCTTGGTACACAGTTTTTAGTGTGCATTTGGAACTGTAAATTCTAACTTTTTATGGGTTTTGTTTTCCTAACAGATAACTAACTTGGGTAGACCACTTAAAACATTTGGTACAGCTTCATTGGACATCCAATGGCCTAAAGAAATCGATAATGGCAAATGGCTGCTGTATTTGATGAAAGTAGAATCCAAAGAATTGGGAATAATCCCTTGTGAACCTCGGAATGAAATAAACTATTTGCAACTCAGAGTAAGTGCATTTTCACCTATTAAAAGCAAGTTAATCTATAGCTGAAGAACCATGGAGAATGCAATAGTGGGATGTTGGACCATGTGTAAAAGTGCGCCAACATGTCCTGATTAGAATGCATCGGAGCAAACTCGATTAATTGAATCTGCTGGAGTCTTCTAATCAGAACTTTCCAGCATGCTGCAGCATCTTGTGTATTCGGTGTCCCTGCATTTCAAAATGGTGGTGGGGGAGCTTTAACTAAAGCTTGTCAAACAAGCTTTAGTTAACCTCCCACCCACTGACATTTTGAAATGCAGGATGCTGAATACATTTGATGCTGCAGGCGTTTCAATTGGAGTAGCTCCCAAGAGCCGCTCTAATTAAAATGCACTTTGTCTCCCTGTCTCTCCTCCTCTCCCCCCCCCCCCCCCCCCCCCCCGCATGCATATAGGTGCCTTTGGTGCTTATCTTGGAAACATTCTGTATTGCTAATAGCTTAGAAAGTGTATCAGAATCCCACAGTACAAGATCTCTCTGTTGTTCTGGCTCCTTCATTTTGTATTTACAACAAAATATTTTATTTTTTTATTTTAAGAATGCAGTTCTTTTCTTATGGGGAAAATTTTGTTCCAAAAGGATAAAGGAGAACAGGACAACTATTATTAATATGTGTTTAAACATTTTAGTTTTAAAGACTGTCTCATTTCTTTTGGTCCCTTTTCCTTGTTTCTCGGGGAAAACCTTTTGGCATTTGCCAGTATCCACTTAAAAATCTTTCTTGCCCTTAGTTTTTCAGCATAAGGGCCCAAGCCTTGCAGCCATTTGTCGAGAGTAGCCCTTTGAAGCAGATGTAGCATTGGGATCCAAATTAGTCCTTATAAGACTAGGTTTCTACTTAGCTAGATGACTACAAAGTGCTGCTTAGGAGACAGCTGATATAATGAGGAAAGCATACTCTGCCACATGCTTTTCATCTTTTCCAAAACCAAGGTCCAACTAAAACTGTCCACCTGCTTTTCAAACTCGACTAACTGTTGTGGCCAAGCTGTAGGCAAAGCCAGTGAAAGGAGCCAGTAGCAACCTTAGTAAGAGCCACTTCCCTTTCAACTACAATACTGTGTTCATCAGTGGCTGAGAAAGGGCTGGTTTTTGTTCATTTTTTCCTTCAGAGTGCATAGGAGAGAAATTGGGGTGAGAGGATGAATGGTTTTGATTATGCATGGTAGTACTCATGTTCTGAATGGCTAGACATGCGTATTGACCTCACTAGATGCTGTCTACGTATAAATTAGAAAAAAGCCAAAGATTTGCTTTCATTTAATCTGTTTTGAGTTAAGTAAATTTCAAACATACAGGTGATTTTTTTTTTTTTTTTAAGGTGCTTGGAATGTATTTAACCGGGAAGTGTTTTTCCTTTTTTATTTCTAGACTTTACTTAACCCATGGCTGACTTTAAAAAACTTTACAGATTATGATGGGGGATTATAAATCTAGCTCCTGCTGTGATGTTAGCATACTCAGTGTCAGTGGGTATTACCTAAAGAGCAAGGGGTTGATGGTAATAAATGTCACTGAATCCTGCAAGCCCTTTGCATACAATTGCTGTCGGAGGATGTGGGAGTTTTTTGTATGCAAGAGTTTGCAAGAACTAGCCTATATCTTATCTTCCCAAAGAGTATGGATGCAAAGCACAGCCAGAAGAACCTTTTTTTTAAGCTAAGGGCCCAAACAGAAGAGCAGCTTCCTATTGCAACTCAAGAGTGCTTTGCAGGAAGCGATATGAGTTGCAACAATTCCCCTGACCAACCGGAAATTTGCTATTCCATCTGGAGTTGGGAATTCCAGCTGCTTGCTGCTAGCCTGCAACCTGGTCTCCAAAGCAGCTTGGCTCCCCTTTCCAGCCTGTTACTGTTTTCAGAATGGGAGGGAGGAAAGGGAGCAGAGGCAGCATGTTCTTGCAGTTCCCTGGCTGGTGTTGAAGGTTGGGCGGGTGGATTAGAGTTCTAATCCGCACAGCCCACCCTCCAGCACCAGCTGAATAAACCTCAGACCAAAGTCCCTCTGCTCCCTTTCTCCCCTCGCATTCTGAAAACAGAGACAGGCTGGGAGCTCCACAGACACAAGTTACAGAATATGCTCTGCTTTGGAACGTGTTCATTTGAACCTTCACACAATGAGGGTTCAGATTTTTGTGGGTTTGGGCCCTTTTAAAGTGGTGTGCATCTGTGTGCTTCTATTTGGTTGTGTCTGTAGACCACTTTGTGGAGCCAGATCAGGCAAAAATTGTAACTTCTGTCTGTGTGCTGTTTGTCTCTAAGGTTCTTCCCCATCTGCATACATTGGGATGTATAGTATTTCGTTGCACGTTACTGTTCTTCTAAAGCATATGAGCCCTCATTTGTATCCTTACAATCTCACTGATTTCAGTGGGCTTTCATGTGTGTGTTTTTTATATAAAATAAAAATATTTGGCATAACTGAGATTAAGCCAGTAAACTGGGGGGAGGGGGAGAGCACGTCATCAACCCCAAGTGTTGACTTGGAGGAGGCACTAATATGGCCCTATCCCACCAGGAGTCTTTGCCATGGCAGGTGCAGCTCTTCACTACATAGCCATAGGAGCCAGGCAGGGGCAGACCCCACACCCTCAGTGCATCTTGGGGGCAGGTGGTGAAATGGCACCATTTCTGCCACCATCCTTCTTCCCTCCATTATCCCCCTAATGCTCTGCTATAAGAGGTACACCCCTGTGTCCTAGGGTGGGGGGAAAGAGAATGGGGTGCCAAGAGGCCCCGGTGAGCCTGCACCACTCCCTATGTCTCAGCTGCAGCAGCTGCTACCTAATGAGAGTCCTGTCAGGTAAGACTCCACTTCCCCCACCCCCTTGTTCTCCAGTTGTCAGATAATGCCCTGTCCTGGTCTCTGGCATTGAAAGAGATCTCAGACTTCATAGATGTTAGAGCTGGAAGGGACCTCGGGAGATCGAGCCCAGCCCCCTGCCTGAAGGGCAGGAAGTCAGCTAGGGTCAAAGGATCCCAGCAAGATAAGTGTCCAAACGCTTCTTAAAGGAGTCCAGAGTAGGTGCTTGCACCACCTCTGGAGGAAGCCTATTCTAGGCCTTGGGGGTTCAGACAGTAAAGAAGTTTTTCCTTATGTCCATCCTAAAACAGTCTTGGAGGAGTTTGTGACCATTGGACCTTGTCATCCCTTGGGGCGCTCTGGTGAACAGACATTCCCACAAATCCTGATGTACTTATAGGCTGTCACCAGGTCACCCCTGATCCTGTGCTCTTCCAGGCTGAAGAGTCCCATGGCTGTCTCTCTTCGTAAGGCCTATTCTCTGATCATGCGCGCGGCTCTCCTCTGGACTCTGAAGCTTCTCCACATCCTTGAATTGTGGAGCCCAGAACTGGATGCAGTACTCCAGCTGCGGCCTCACCAAGGCCAAGTGCAGCAGGAGGATGACACCCTGAGATTTACTTGAGAAGCATCTATGGATGCAAGCCAGAGTTTGGTTTGCATTACCAGCTGCAACATCACATTGGTGGCTCATCTTCATTTTGTGGTCAGTCATGACTCCCAAGTCTCTTTCTGTCATGGTGTTAGCGAGTGTAGCACTGCCAAGCCTGTAAGTGTGCTGTGTGTTATCTGCGTGGGATTTTTTTTCTTTTAAAACACACAGCAGTTATTTGTTACACAATATTCAGTACAAGCGTTTCTGCTGAACAACAGTATGAACTCTTCAGGATTTAAGTGCATGCAGTTTTCCCACTGAAACTGAATGTGTAAGGATTGGAATGCGTGAACACACGCACCCTTCCTGTAGCCTGCCTCATCAGCACTCATAATGATCAGTTATGCTGTATTTAGCAGTTTATTGAACAAGTTCAGCAAACAGATTTAACAGGCTTATCTCTACTGATGCTTGATAGTAATCAAATTAAAAAAAAAAAAGCTAAGTGGTGCTGTTAATAGCCCATACTCTGAATGCCTTAAAAATGAAATGGTCAGGTAAAACACTTGCCTCTTCAGGTTACAGAAGGTATGTTACTGATTAAATTCCAGTAACTGCTGTGGTACCAACAGTCCTTGCTAGTAGCATAGGAAGTGGATGGAAAAGCTGCCCATGATACAGGTGCTTAATGAATCATGGTAGTCAGGTGACACAAACATGTCTGTCTCTGTCTGTCGTGATGAGATGACCAGCACTAGGCTCTAGTGTCACTGCTGTACTTTCCCTTCCCTGTTAATTTTACTGAGTCAGGTTTAAGATACCAGTTTAATGGAAAAAAGGTTTATGTTAGAGTAAAATTATTTTAAAACTTGTTTGTATTATTCTTATGCTTGCCTTTAGAAATTGTTTACTTGCTGTAGTACCATGATGAAGTCCCAAGAAAACCTGCTTTATTTTACTAGATTTGTATTTACAATATGAAAACAATTAAACAATATTATGGGAAATTACGGTAGCTGCTAAATGAGCTACACTTTTTTTAGATGGATCTGTTTAAGAGGCCAAAATTGTTGCTCTTCTGTATTTGGAATCTAATCTGGATCCTTAAGTATTGGGTATTTAAATAATCTGTTATATTCTGATTAGTTCAATTAAGTTTATTTACTCTATATATTTCTCTTTGTTTGTAAAGGACTCCCATAACTCAAGGAGAAAACGTGAGATTGCAGAGAAGCAGATTAATGATGGCAAGAAGTTTTCTTTGTTTTCAGAAAGAAAATACAAAACTCTGGTAAGCATTTCCCTATCACAATATCAGTTATGCTTTAGTCCCCATCCCCACTTTTGCCCCTCCATTTTCCTTTCTTGGTTTAGCTGGGTGAAGGAAGGTGTGCATACAACACTTTTTTTTTGTTTTGTTTTATTGCTTTGTTTCTGATGGTCCGTGGTTTAACTATTTATTTTTTCCCAGTGTTCTTTTAAAGTTATGATTAGTTTGTTGGATTAGTTTCTAAACAACCACAGAAGACCACTTTTATGTAGGCAATTAGCATTTAGAATTTGACTTTAAAGGGCAGCAAAATAACAAACAAGACCAAAAGTAAAGAATTTGTACGCAAAATGATGCATACATTTTCAACAATATTAGAACAGAGCCTAGCATCCTGAGCTAGGTCTCCCTGAAATTGGTGAGTGTTTGCTGTTGATTATAGTGGGAACAGATTTGAGTCTTCTAAAGGAAGCCCTGTCCTTTACTTTAAGGCGCACACTTGTCTGATCCATTCCTTAAAACAGTTTAGGTCCTGGCCTACAACTTAAATGTTACATTTTCTGTCAAATATGACTTTTGAATTAACATGTTATAAATTTAAATTACAGGACTGTAGGGGGAGTGCACGCTGTGTGAACATAAAGTGTCCGTTGCAAGGCTTGGACAGCAAGGCATTGGTCGTATTGCGTTCAAGACTGTGGAATAGTACTTTTCTAGAGGTATGTTCTGTTACTCTCTGTTCTTGAGGCATTTTCATTTTCCCCTCACATGCCTTGTAATGTATGTACGCTTTATTTTGAAACAGGAATATTCCAAGCTGAACTACCTCGACATTGTTGTTAGAGCTACAATCAGTATTCCTGATGCAGCAGCAAATGTTAAGATCACAC